TGCTATATTTGAAAAATATTTTAAAGATTTGTTTACTTCAATTTATTTTATACAAGATATCATGTTCGAGGTATTATACTTTAGGTACCATACATAATGTATAATACATTTCTTTGGAAACAAAAGTAATAGGATATTATCGTGAAATATGGACACTATACTACTATAGTACACACATAACATCGTCGTGTGACGCGTATAAGAAAGAAATAAAATTAATTTAAAATGCTGATAATAATATAATATCACCTTCGCATTTATTATAATTTTGAGGCCCCAACGAAAAAAAAAGTCGTACGAAAATAAACGAACTTTACGTCCAATTGAAGATTACTCCCTCAAACGTATCAAACCCGAGGACCACACGTTACCTGAGTATTAGACGGCTATAATATGGGGAAAACAATACGAAACGGTGTAGTGGGAAACCAGGTTTGAGTATAGTTCTAAAACCACGGTAACCATGACCGAACACGGTGAATAGTAAAACCTTAAGCACGTATTTCAGTTTTACGCTTTTCGACTTTCATATTATAAAAGCACAATATATATATAATATTAATAATATATAATATATCAACTATCGACCCCATTTAATGTCCGATTTTCAAGGCCGTGAGATATTTGTAGACCCTCAAACTCCACTTTCGTAAGTACATGAGTAAGTAATAAGTAAACGTAGTATTCATGAGCTAAGACTTAAGAGTGTTACAATTTATTATAGACCATATAATATTATGACAATGTCGAAGAGTCGATAAAAAATGTTAATTTTCAGTGAAATTATAACTCCAGCATACGATTAACGGGCGAGTTTCCACTTATCTATAATAATATTATGCTCGCAGTAATTCTTGAAGCCGTGTCGCTCTTCTCGGAACTGTCACCCTCACGCTTCTTACCATTCGATCAGTTTCACCATAACCTCCAAAAGTTCCTCAAAGTCACCATCTCCTGGTCCGACACACGCGGCACGCACCCCCATCTGAAGCCAAGCTCTCTAGCCCGAAACGCAACCGCCTGCCCACAAAACGAACACAGACGTGGACAGCATTTCCGTAATATTGTGGTCCTCCGGCAAAAGGCTAGTTTTCAGACTCGTCCTTTTGCTGCCCCTGATCCTGCTCCTGTGGCTGCTGCTGCTGCTGCTGCCATAGTGCAAGCCGTCGAGCATCACATCCTCGGCTGGCTCCGCTGAGAGCATTGCCGGTTGAACCGCAGTCGACTGTACGTGGTAGTCAAAGATGGGCATCAACTTTACTAGTTTTTTTTTTTCTGTTTTTAACTTATTCAGTTAAGATTTTTACTGTTGTAACTTAGGTTTTTAAAGTTTATTATCATTGTCGTGCAGTTAAGTTAATTTTATCTTCGTGTCATGCTGAACCAACTATAATTATAGACAATATACTGATTTGCTGACTATTTTTCGATTTTGGTCATTTATATTTACTAATTATAGGTATATTATAATAATCTAATTTTGTACAGTGTTAAATGTCTTAGAAAATGTTTGTGTATATCAAAATATTAGGGCAGTTTATGACTTAAAAATATTGTTATTAACTTTTTTTTAACTGAGTTAAGTTAATTTAATTTTCTATTTTAGCATTTACTTATCTAGTTATTTTTTTTTTTGGTTAACTTTTAACTAAAGGAAATTCAATTGAATTAACTTAAATGTCCTCAGTTAATTATTTTCATTGACTTGCTCGCCTTTGGTTGTAGTGCACTGCGCCGCGCCTTCGTCGAGGCCCAACCTGCAGGCTCGGTGGCCGCCAGACTTCCTGGTCGGACAGTCAACCGCAAATCCTCCTGTTGCCTTTTGTGCAATATGTCTGTAAGACAGCAATGGATATTCCCTGATTTCGCACTACCGCTTCTACTCAAAGGTTTGTCCAAACTGTCCAAACTGGATCAAAAGCTATGTCGGACTAACACTTTAAAGCTGAAAAATGCCAATGTTTTAGATTAGGTAATAAAGAAAAAAATATATGGATTAATATTGATAATATTTAATTTTTTAGTTCAGAACTTATAATAATACTAGCCCTCCGAGCTAGTAACTTATAATAATAATAATATACCCATAACTAATATAACTAATAAGGCTATACACCACCAACACAAAATTAATAGTTATTATTGTAATTTGTACAAAATACAAACCCGATAAACGTGAAATTGTTTTCAAGAAATATCAATAGGTATTTTTATACATGCTCATGCATTTTACAACAAACAATAATAAAAGTGTAAGACTAAATAATTACAAATTGACAAAATACTTTCAAAATTATATTAAAATACAAAAGGCATTTGATTTTAATGAGTAGTTGGCACTAATTGCCAAATACATGATACTATATATATAGATACATTTGAAAAAAACTACATTTAGGTATAAGTGATAATAAATAATAAAATTACAAGTTTAAGTATTTTCAATGAATTGATAGTTGTATTGCAAAAACCTAATTGTTACGATTCTTCCGAAAACGTTGACCTTGTCTGGGTTTTAAAATATTTATTTAACCGGTCCTAAGTTCTTGTATTGAACCGAATAAAATGTGTCTTAATTAGCGGTTGGGTTGAGTGCGAAAAACGAAAAGTATTTAGTATTTACTTATTATTTTGTTATTAAAAACAATAAATACTTATTATGTAGGTACATAATAAATAATAATAATATAGAAGATATCCTACATAAATATCTAAATATTTAATTTAAAACTCTAGTTTTATTTTTATCCTTTTTATAAATTTTAATCAATGTAGGACGTAGGTATATACAAATGTAATACTAATGGCCTTAGCAATCGAAGCAGAAGTTTTTATAATTCCAAGCCTAATAAAAAAAATAATATCAATACTATAGTGTAAAATATAATTAGTATTTACATTTTAAATACGAGATACATAGTACATTTTAAAAGAAGCACACAGAATAAATAAAATAAATAAATAATAAATACAATATACAAACGACAGTAATTTGGTATAATCTACCTGAGGCTGTTGTTTGAACAAGTCTCCAATACAATATTGTACATCAAAATATGATATATGGAACGATTAAAACTTCAGTATGGAGACATTGGTCCCCCCAGAAATTTTTTCTCAACTTAAACCATATGTTAGCGAATGATACCATGATTACAAAGGCCAATCAGAACACGATAAAAGCCACACTGCGACACGACTGACGACGTAGCCCGCGACTCTTTACTCGCTAGAAGCGATGACCTCAAAAATTTCTGTCAGTCGTTCTGAGAAAAACGCCGTCACAGCTGCCCTTTTTCCCGCATACATACAAATGTGGTCATTATGGATAAAAAAACATCAATCATTTTTTTTTTTTTTTTTGTATATTCACTCAGTGTTGAGAAAACCTTATCATACGGTTTTTCCACTCATACGGCATTACCCCGCTTTCCCTCGTCCAAATATAATATTATATTGATTTGTAAAATCCAAATAAAACCACCCATCAGGTTGGGTAGCATTGTAGCACAGGTTATATGAGTACCAAAATATTTTTGATTGTGAAAATGACCTTTCAACATTATAGCAACTTGATACCATGCATACGAACTTTCACGTTGGTTTTACAATTAATTTCATAGAATTGGCTAAACAAATATTTATTAAAATTAAAAGTTATAGTATGGAAAAGAAAAGTGTTTTTTTTTTACCTAGGTAGTTGTTACAAAATGAAACGATTATGAATTTCTTTCACATTTTTTATTCCATCAGAGTATAATTTAAAAGTTTTCAATTCTTCAACTACATTGCAAATACTTTTTTGAATCATAAATAATAATAAATGTAAACTCAAAATAATAATCACAAATTCAGTAACAATGTTTTTTATATCAAACTAGAATTTCTAAGTAAAGTTAGGTAACTTAGGTTACGTCTATTTCGATACAATAGTATTATTCAAACTAGAAGTTCAACCAATTGTTTTCGAGGGATAACATTTAATTTTTTCCAAATTTTATTTTCCTTGTTCTTAAAAAATTACAAGGAAAATAATAGGTAGTCGAATAGTGAACAAGAGTAAACATTTTTTTTTTGCATTTAGCATTTAGATATACCTAGGAAATGCCCATCACCATTCGTAATTAAACCACATTATACCTACATATAAATAGGTATACGAAGTGAAAACAGATTATTTTGAGCACGGGATTTCAATACATTTTAATAAATTACAAAAAGAAAAAATTGTATGGTATTATTTAATGCCGTACATTATTTTATGAAGAGGTATTTATATTAGCATGTACATAAATAGTTATGGTTCGCTGCGTGCTAAATCGGCCCCGTGATAATTTAAAAACACCCATAATCTCAGTGAATATTATGAATATAAAACCGTGACAACTATTTTCTCTGGCGTACTTCATACCTAAGAAAACTTAAATAGGTATTGTGGGTATGCTATATATTAAATATGCCATAATAAAAACTTTGTCTTACATTTTAATTAAAATCGCGCTTAGGTATATAATCTTATCTGATAGTTTTAAATGCGCAGGTTCAACCAATAGCATGTGTTCTTTTACTTAATTTAATAGATTCTACGTTCTGTAGCCAAATAATAATTCTATATGGGTTTAAACTTTTACTAGTTGTTATTCGAGTTTGAAGTTACAATATTGTTCTCTTTTGGGTAATACAATATTAATATTGTACTCGAAATAATCTCAAGTACAATACAACAATGATGCTACCTAATGATTTGAAAATGTATTAAATTCAAAAACTTGTCTGAGCATTGTTTGGTGAAAATAGCTTATGAAAAATAAAAATTTCGATATAACAGTATAAGTTCTCATAGTAATATTATTTTCTCGAAACTATTAAAATAACTATCCTGTTTGTTGTTACCATGTAGAGTAATACAAATAATGACTATAATAATCATAATGATTATTGTTTAACATAATATTGTCATAAAAACCGTGAAGATACATTAAGGTCGCTCTAATTTTGAAATGACAACTGTAAGTTCTCTTAGCGAATTCCCCAGTGATGATGATGATGGTTCACGGAACGAAACCAACAGTTCAACCACGGAAGTTGTGTACTCGCCACAGTGGAACCGTAAGAGTAATATGAAAATGATACCCAATAAACAGCACAAGAAAAACAATAAAAGTATTGCTGATATTATGGAATCGAACAAACAGTCATCTTGGTGCTCTTCAAAACTCAAGATTTCTAACGAGGAACCTCGGTCATTTCAGCGGTCGTCGTCCGCGCTTACGTCGCTCAACAGTCCGCCCATTGACGAAAGCACTCATCAAACTATTTCCCAATCAAATCAAAAGCCATTGACATCATATTATAGTTCTTCGTCACAAGTCACAAGTTCTGACGATTTCTTAAAAAACAATCCATTCGTCAATAGGTTAAGAAATCCATCGGTAGCGCAAGAATATGGACATTCGTATTTTGATACGAACTGTTCGTCCACAGACAGTAGTCGAAACTCTAATTTCGATCAATTTTTCCCAAAAAGTTCGACGACTGCAGATTCGTTTTTCGATAATTTGGAATCTCGAGTAATTATCCTCTCGTTTTATATGTATTTATTTGGAAATAAACATTAGTTAATATGCAACATCGCGTTATTTATATTTGAGCTAAGTATTTATAAATTAATAATATTTAAAAATGTAAGAGCTTTTACATAATATTAAGTTTTTATAAATATAATATAATCAAATATTATGCTGCATTGAATATAGGTAGAACGTAAACCATCTTTAGAAATGCAGTCAAAGTATATTTCGGAACATCGATTTCATTGGTCGGAAAATATAGAATATTGTTCTCCGTGGGTGAGACACAGGGCTAAAGAAATCGCTGACCATGTCGACGGACTTGGACTTTTTGAAGTGAAGAAAAAATCTGAGGTATCAGAAAACGATTCCAAGAAAATGCACAACGATTTGAAATCTGAGGTCGTTCACGAAGACAGTGAGAAAATCGACGACGATATCACGTACAAAATTGCAAGTAAATTGTGTGATACGTTTTTAAAACACGACGAAACGAATGTGTTGGATAATAATCAATGTCCAAATGATGAAAACTTCAAATGGAGTAAACTCTACCAAAAGCTTATAAATTATGGGCAACTTTAAAAAATATATATTATATTCATATATCCATGTGTGCTATTTGTGTGCATCTATCTAAATATTATGAGTTGAATTCTGTTGATACTTTAAGGTATAATACAAAGTTCAGACTAGCCTCACGACTCATAATCTTTGATTTTTTCATGTTATTATAACAATATGACTTTTGACTTTTGCATTGGATTAATGGTCAGATTTTTGTTGGGATTTATAGAAACCGCAAGATGTCATTGTTATCTTATGTATATTTTTTTACTGCACCCAAGCAGAGGTGTTAATGAATATGTTAGAGTCGAATGTATTCTGCATATTATATAGGTACCTACTAGAAATTAAAAATATGATTTACTTGATGAAGTCGCACTTCCGATGAAGCCGTCTTGCTCTTGATCTAAATATTGAATATTCTTTAACTACATCATGTCGAGTGATTGTTTCAGACGCTTAAAACATCCGATGTCTTTGGAATTATCTGATTATTGGATGGCAAATGGATTGACTTGGTGAACTTTCCTCGTCTAGTGTTTGCGAGCAAACCTTTGGATTTTGTCTGCTATCACTGCAGCATCATATCGTGGTGATTTCTCGTTGTTTCTTACAATTTTAATTATTATTATTATTTAATTAATATATTGAGTTTACGATTTTTTCGTTATATGCGAGTGACAGATGAAGAAAAATAGTGTTTTATATTTCGATAAATACTATTTACCTACATCTATTGTTAATCATAAAAAAAAAATTATAATAATTGACATTTTACATTTTTACTAATATCAATGTTTACTATATAAGTCAAGCGTGATTCTATAATAGTATAATATAATATTATTATGCGATGACTTATACAGCTAAATGTGTTATTTATATAATCTGACAAATATAATGTACGATGATAAATGTTGATACGTTGTATCGTTGTACAAATAATGAAATGATGGATATAAGTCAATATATTATTATATGGATACCAGTTGTATATAACATAATATTATCCTATCATACACCTCGTGTTTGTTTGTGTGTGTGTGTGTGTATAAAATTATGTGCAATAATATTTTAGTTTATTCGAGTGCTTTAGTTCTCGCTACGTGTTGTGCTATTTTAGTGAACCATAAATACAGAGAATTTGACCTAAACTTTCACCGAGAATATACCCCTTTGTCATTATAATTCAAATTATTTAAGTTTATATCATAAAATGTCGGTTCGTTCACCGAATACTTTGCATAATGTTATTGTTTACGTAAGATAAAAAAAATGGCGTTCAGAATTATTCTGTGCTATACCGTAACGTGGTTTTTGACAGTTCGATATGCAGTATATAATATTTAATTTAGTAAATAATATATCATTTTAACACTCTTGGTCGTACTTAAACAATAATTATTATTACCACAATAAATGCATTGGTAACTTGCTACCTTTATTGAATGTTATTATGACCTATTTTTAAGATTCACAACCGACTTCTATAGCTATGTGAGTTATACTCTTTTTACAATTTGACCTTTGCATTAGTTTATTCATTAAGTTTTTCACTTTATTGTCTAGACAGTATAGTGACGAAGATAAGTTGATTTACCAATAACTATATCCATTGACGAGCAGACAAGACGTGACATCGTATAAACTATTAAGACTCCTTTGAGATGCTTTTGTCCGTTATATACATGTATATATACAAATAATAATATAATAATATAACATTTCCGGTTTACAAACCATTGAACAACATTTATGGACCATAAACATTATATAACCATTTATAGATACGACTTTGACGCGTATTAACTTTCAATGCAGTATTGAATTACTTGATTATATTATATTAACCGAAGTTAATTATTTACACTAGGTAGGTATCTAAATATAAAAATTTGCTAAGATTTCAATGATTCTAATAAGTCCTCTAATTTATTTCAACAGTGCTGACGATACCCGAACGAGTTTATCGAACGAGTATTTTTATATTTAAGTCTTAATAAGACTCAAGCGCCAAAGACTTCTTTTGGTTTTTACAAGTATATAATAGCAATCTGCACTATTGGTATATATTTATATATATATATTATAATATTATAATGATCTATTGCGAACGTTATTATTATTAATTTATCGATTTCGAGCAAGCTCTTGCTGGTCGTCCAACAATCATAACAATATTATTGTCAATGTTTGATTTGCGTACCTCTAATCCTTACCGATTTTCGAGATTTCTATAATTTTGGAAAGTGTAGAAATAAAACGGTGCTTCGAAAGTCTCGCACATAGCCTCGTGGTTTTATCGATTGAGCGGTCTGTATACAGAACTAACACTGCAGATGGTGGTTTATATTGTATACAGCTATTATATAGCTATTTATAACTACAATAATAATTGTGTATTATATAATAATGGCGTAGATTATATTCGAAAACGCGCGTGTGCGGTACGTGCGTAGGTGGTATACGTATATTATATTCTTATCTTTGGGGAATATCGCGGAGAAGAAGAGGGAAAAAAGTGACGTTTTCGGCAAATTTCTCATCAGTTTCCGGTGACTCGCTGCGGAATAGGAGAGAGCTCATTTCACTGTCGTAGATATAGGTATATATTTAGGCACTAGGTATAGTATATGCTGTACATATATATATATATATATAGCTACACTAACATCGGCCAAACACACAAACATGATTAATGAACACAATCTCGAACAGGAGATGGCCGTTGAACCGTTCTACGGTCAAATAACGTCAGGCCGAACAAAACTCGAGCGCGCGCACCCACACACCCACACACACACAAACCACCCCGAGTTGAGGTACAACCCCCACGAGCCGGCCGTGCGCCCCCGCACGCTGCACATGAATGTATACGATATTATTATATTTTAGTCATGCGCAGACGTTGATTTCAACTATAGGTCATGGCCCACTACACGCCGCGGCGGTGTCTATGAGCACAATAACAATAATAATAATATCGTAGACCGATTTAATAATAATAATAAGAATAAACAATATTATTATAATTCTCGTCTCGCCGTCGCGTTCACTCGGTATCGGCAAACTCGCGAGAGCTCCAGTGTGTAACTATCATAATATAGTGTAGTAGGTAGCATCGGCGCCGAAGTGTTTAAAATAATATACTATGACATCGTGCGTCGAGGGGCCCCTATCATCCCCTCTTTTTTAATACAAGAATTAGACGCAATCAAAGCACCTAATGCAATGTTTAATCATTTATTTTTACGCTTTAATGTAAATTCTGAATCCACAGCGGGGTCCCCTGCTGCAGTAGCCTACGGTGGGCCAAATAACTATACTATGACATAATATGTCATAGATAAATTAGGTGATCGGCTCCACTGATAGGTAGTATGGTAGATAAGTGCCTTAAGCAAAATGTACCGTAATAAAACGTACCTACGCTTAAAATTGTATACTAAATTAATAAAAATATAAAACTCAATTTAATTTAATTTTTTACCTGCAATTATTCGTATTTTATTCAGCTGCACTTATAGGAAAGTAGCATTTAACTAAATCGTCGTGTGGGCCCATCTCGACAAATGACAAGTGATCGGAAATAGATATGATGAATAATAATTGTCCTTGTCCATATCTTTTGTATAAATAACAATAATACAATATGGTATCAATATTATCATAATACTATGTACTATAAAGAGCAGCAGTTCCATAGAGTATTGCATAGGTAATAAATGGTTCTCAAACTGTGGTACGTGGAAAGCTGTGTGGTGGTAGTACTGGCGGTACAGCGGTTCCGGCGATGATGAATCAGAACAAGTTATTTTATATATTATTATAGCTATATATACCTAACACATTTTATATAATATGATTATATGAATATAATATAGAATATAGAATATGATATGTAATATAGATAGCATTCAATAACATGTTTTACATATTATAATGACTTTCCGATTTAACGGTTTATGGATTAAACACAGTAAACCCTTGTTATAACAGACCCCAATAAAACGATAAACTCCTTACAACTGAAAATAACAACAGTACAAACTATATCCTGTGTTGTTAGTCTCCCTATAACGGAAACTCATTTACAACGGAAAAATCAGTTGGCACCGAGCGATTTCGTTTTGAGGAGGTTTTACTGTACACTTTTATTATGCTTTTATAATTTTTTATATTTAGAATATTCTCCATCGAATCTACTGAACAGTGAACAATAATATAATATATAGTCATTAGTTGCGAATTTTTGAAATTTTTTTTGCGACGAGTCAATAATGTATTTAATTCTTGCTTGTCACATGACTTATTATATTTATTATATTATAATCCTCAAATTACATGTGGAAAAATCCTTCGAATTATTTGATTTACCGATACAAAGAAGTCACTGTAATGATGAAAAAAAATAATTTTCAAGTGGTAAGGACACATTTCTGAGGACCAGGTACAGCCAATTTGTTCACAATTGTATAACAGTTCTTACCGTGAAAGTTGATCAAAAACTCAATCTAAATAAAAATAAATATATAGCCAGTACAGGTAAACTAAGTTTTGTAGAAAATAATATAATATACAATTACAATTATATTATGTAACATACTGTGATTGCAGAGGAGTAGTATTGTGCAAACACACCCTCCTCTGCTGTCGGTTCAAAACGAAAAAAAAAACATACTGTGTTTTGAGAAATTATACAAAATTTTCAGAGAACTGCTCCATGTTGGAAATGTTGTTGTTGTAGCCGGTTCTTTTTTGATAAGTAAACAAAGTTATTGTTGTTTCGGATCATCAGAAACTTTCATTAACTCTAATTCATCATCATCTATGTGCTCTTGATATTCGGTTTTTAATTTTTATATATTTTGTAGAACTCATTTTAAGTGAGGCTTCAAAAATAATTAAAGACTTTATGTAATACAATTATTTACATACAGAATACAACAAGAGAAAAAATATTTATTCTTAGCGAAGACTTAGACCAAAACTTGTCTGAGCGGTGATTTTGAGGAATTTTGTCAACATTTGAACTTAAAATGCTTATAAAAAAGGTTTTTTACCCTGTGGATTTTTATATCGATATTTATAGAAAATAAACTAAAAACGATTGAAAATGTCTTAAAAACATTTCGTAAAACTTTAAATTATCTGCGGTCATTCATTTTTGAAATGCTATAAACAACCACTGAGGGAAACTGGTCAACACCCTTGAGTTACAACAACAATAAAAAATAATTCTGTCAAAAACTGGTTTTGAGTAAAAAATTCCATGTTTTCCAAGTTTTTTTCCCTGATACATTTAAAAATTACTGAAAATATCTTACTTTTTTCCCCTAGGTACCTTTAAGATTAACTGTCCAACCAGAAAATGTATTTTTTACTGCCCCAAAAGCTGATGAAACACACAAAAATAAAAAACACATAGCTTTGTAAAATTAATATATTCATTAACAGGGGACATTGCAATTAAACAGTATAATATCTCATAGAAGTAGTTATATATTGATGAAATGCATAACTAAAAAATAATACAAAGATTAACAAAAAATATCTAATTTTTAAAAATGAATAAAAATTGGAGAGAGTTTGAATTACATTTGATAATACCTTTGTGCGCAGGTGTAATATTATATCCTATGCATTATGCATACTTATAATATCTATACTTATAAAATATATCGGAAAATCAACTTATGAGGAAAATTGCCACGAGCTGATGAAACGTTACTGGATTTCGTTAACATCTTAAAATTCAACATTTTATTTTGTTTATTTTTTTCCTGGTATTAAATAACTCAACATTTAAAATGTAAGCTACAAAACGGTTTAGCACATAACAACACTGTAGTATGACAAATTATTTATATCAATTATTCCAATATTATATAGTTTTGTGTAATAGAAATATAATGAAAAAATCGTATAGTCGAAACTGATAATTTATTATTTTGTGTAGATAAGAGAGTGCACGCAAATCTCCGATTTTTCAACAATATCTGTAATAATATTTGAACAGAAACGGTTAAAAATAGTTTATTTGAATAAATCGCAAGGCACTATATTCACCTGACAGCTGATTATTACTGTTGTGGTTCAATTGAATTAAATTGGATCAAATCGGCTCTTCTCCCAACACGCGTGTTGGGTCAACCTTTTTCAATTTTCTTTTTGCATTACAAAAGTTCACCAGTGGTCTGAGTGTTAAAAAGTAAAAAATCTCAACCAAGCTCAAAAAGCTAAACCCCAAGCACAATCCCATTATACCACCCACATTACCTAAATGTTAAAATTAAATCACGTTAATAAAAAAAATGAGTGTACTATATTTCTAAATGTGTTCTTACCCATAAATTGACCGAACGTAAAAGTCATTATTCGATTATGTCCAATGAAATTTTTACTCTGATAATAAACACTCAATATCAACGAACTAGGTGCCCTAAAACAATTATTTATATTATACAAATTATTTTTATGTAATATAATATTATAATTTAGCATGGAAACGTCAAGAAAATGTGTATTAAATGAGAAATTATATAGGAGTTACAACCGCAAATATGACATAGTTTTTAATAAATATAAATAGTTATAATTATTTATAGTTTCCTCATATTTTATAGATTCAGTAAGCTCGACATGAAATTTACCATCAGTATAAATTAATTATTCTATTTGAGAATAGTAGAAATTAAAGTTTTGATAATTAATGCAAACAATCTCGAATTTGAATAATTATACCAATAATATGTCATTCTAATAATTCAAGTAGAATAATGAATGAAGCAAATCATTAACATGTTACATGATATATATAAAATATAAATATACGTAGATAGCATAATATTAATATATAGGTAACAAAATATAAAAGTACCTAAATATATAATATTATAATAATATATAAATAAAAGGAATCCCAAATATTCTATGTGATTGCATTATTGCACTTTGTGTTTGTTGACATTTTACAACTGATTAAAACGATTAAACTAATAGGTGTAGTCACTGTAGTGTGTAGGTATAGCATATATATTGATATTGCTTATAAATGTTTATAGTCAATAATTGATTTATAGAGATAAACTTAAATTTTTTTAAACTTTTCAAAAATGAATATAATTATGGAAAGTTAGGTACGTGTTAAGTTATAACAACCAAAGCAAGAACATATTATATGGTTGGTGGTATGTCATCGGCATATAATATTTTTTATAAAATGTCAAGGAATACATTGAAAACTATAAAACGTATACTTTTATGATACAAATAACTAATAAGCAAAAATTAAATTTGTTGTAAATTTTGTTTTTCTATTGTGTGGAATAACGATTTTATTCTCATATCTTTATCACTCGTAGAATCATTCGCATACATTATACATATACAATATACATATACATTATACATCCAATATCGTGTTTTTCAGTCACGACTTCTTATAACTGCTTTTTTTCCATTCTCCATTTTATTTTAGGGAGGTATACCTTCACGGGATTATATTTTATCGTCAGTGGTCTTATATGGACACTCAAACTTGCAAGATATTATTACATTCGTAATTCGATATTTTTTAGTGTACATTATTTGTACGTATATTTATTACCTCTGCGTTTTTAACTTTTAAATATTATAAAATTATAATTTATATGTATACTTCTGAATATTATAAACATGTTTTATTTATTGTTATTATAATTATTATTATAAAATTATCAACATTACTAAGTTAATAAGAATTTATTATTTTCAGGCGGATCACTATAGTTATGCTTATGACTATAGCTAGGGACTATGTTCTAACCTGAATTTTTAATACAAAATTTTAGAGGTGTTTGCGTTGTTTTACAAGTACTTATTTTTCGTCAGTACTTACGGATATAATTCCCAAAAACAACACTACTGAAATGTATACAGTATATTCTGCAGTTGGTTATTAAATTTGACTACTACGCAGATACACGAAGTGCGCTCCCGGTAAACACTTCTATAGGTAGGCAAAACAAATCTTACCACCATGCGCCGCCACACCAACACTGCAGATGTGTGTTCCGGTAACAATTTAATAGGTCAAATTATAACGATGAAGTTTATAAAGTGTGAGGAAGACAAACCGTTTGTTTGATAGAAAATAATGTTGTCTCACTTGTCTATTCGATGATGTATAAATACATAAAATATATTATATTCCCGTGCAGTATACTTCCAATACCGGTAATTCATAGGTGTTAATTAGGGGGGGCGGGGTTAGATTCTAAGCGGAACAATGAATGATGTATGAGTACCTACAATGATGAGTGTTCTTCTTATGTCTGAAAATACTTTTTATAGCAGGAATTCTTGAAAAATACTCAGATCTTCAACTTCGAGAAAAGTATCTGTTATAAAATCGGATCTATAGTTTCTACTTGTCATAAGTAGTAATTTCCGAATACTTTATAAGATAACCGGGAAAACACACACGTAGAAATATTGGAGTTAAATTCAGTTTCAAACAATTGTTAAGTAGGTAGGTAAATGTTAAATTAATTGTAATTTGTATATTAAATAACAACATGGGGAGTTGTATCAAATGTTGAAGTCCTACACTATGTATAGACTTAACGCCTACTACCTATATGTATTGTTAACAATGTGCTATATTTGAAATGAAAAAAAATTTATTATTTTATGTAATAAACGATAAAATAAAGGTTTTGTTATGTAACTTTAAAATTATGTTCATTAATAACTTAACAATTCCATGTTTGGTCATTTTAATAACCAATATTTTGATAACCGACAAGCAATTCTTCTATCTCTGCAGAAAAAAATTTCGAAAAACCCCGTTAAACATTACCATATAAGTAGGTATTCACGAAAACCAAAATCTATTGTAATTGATTTTGCTTTTTGTTGTAATTCAAAAATAAATAACTATTTAGAGACTTCAGACTTGTTTTTTTTTCAAAATATTTATACGGGCATTTTCTAGATATAATACAATAAAAAATATTTTGATTCTTTTTGGTCAATTTATAGACGTTTGACATTTTACTGCAAATACAAAATATAGAAAATAGACAATTATGACAATTGCTGTCTTTTCCCTGAATTTTTCTAGTTTGCTCATTTTCAATATCAAGGCATTTTTTTTATTTTAACTCTTTCCTTTGTATAAAGAGGTTTTATTAAATTTTAAATTATTGCTTTGATATAGGTACAACTATTTACTTTGATATTTAAATTTTCTACTTTTTAAACATGCATAATTTTTTCATTAAATTCTTACGAGTCATTTTTATTTTTGTTTTGAGCTGCAGCTTCAGTGAGCTGCGCATTCATTGATGACGTTTTGAAAAAAAATTCAGTACATCCCGGTAAACAATCACATGAATCCGACGAAGCCTCTTAAATGAACAAAAAAAAAAAAATACATAGAGTTCGTTTAGATAGAATATTTTTATTAAGTGGTGAATTTCGTACGTTCACCTTTAAAGGTATTTAAAAAAATTGACATTAGTTTCAACTAAGATACATCCAAATGCGTTTACAAAGTAATTTACTACAAGAAATAGAAAAAAACTTAATATTTTGTAGCATAGAGGTTTAAGTTTTTCGTTAACTTAAGTCAATATTTTTTTATGATTATAAAATAAACTTAAAAAACCAACAAATTGTTTGAAAGAGCGTATACCCTCGATATCTCCTAAACTAACCGTATAACCGTTGAATAACTTACGTGACGCGGTAACCCAACATGGCATTTTAGCAGGTCCGCAAACTGGCGTGTTTTTCGTTCCTGTAAATTTCGAAGCCAACAAAAATTATCGATGAAAAGTGGTTTTTTATACGCGTGTTAAAATCGGTCCGTACTTAAGTAGTAAAAAGGCACACAGCCACACTGCGACAATATATTTACGCTGCGACACTCCAAGATGCAATTATTTTTAGTGTAAACTTTGAAAAATTTTAGTTTTCTCTCGTTTTGAAAGTAACAGTGCCTTGTGTGGGGATCCCACGGTATTAGCTCCTCGGCTGTAGTAAGCACAAACGGTTTAATTGAAATAGTCGAGATCATATTGATGCTGGCCAACAATGTCGGATGTGACCTGTCGGGCCATTCGGCCGGACTGTGGATCAATATCTGTAAAACAGTAAAACGTGATCATATAATTGTGCTTGTGCTGTATTACATATTATTATTGTTGCGGCAATATAATAACGACAAAACCAATAAAATATTGTAAAATTGTCGTTTTATCGTATTACGTAGAACACGTCCAACCCGTGTCCACATTCTTTGTTCATGTCGTCGGCGTGAAGTTCCAACTTCATAGTAGCACTGTGATAATCACCGTCGCCAAACGTCCTCAGTGGCAAATGACCTTTGAGCGCGTCGCTTCTATATCCGGTGTCCGGCTTCCAGCTACTGTTATATTTTTTCCAATTGTAGTTGTTGAATTCCTGCGACCATTCACTGAACAACATAACAATATAATAACATATTATACAATGCGTGTCTACTACAACTGGGTACACCATGGGTAAATAACTCAGTAACCTACATTACTTGGTGCCAACCCTATACATATTTTAGAATTCTGTCCTTGGGAAATTCGTGATCCAATAATCTAGTTTCATGTTCCGCAAACAGAATTCAAAAATATGTATGGGACCGGTACTGATGGGTAATATGGGTACTGGGTAGGTAATTGAATGAGAGTATACCCTGTTCTCGTCATCTTCCTCAAGGATCCCCGAATAAATAACCCTCACAACTTACATTCCGAAAAAATAACCCCGTGAAACAATAATCATGGAAAAAATAACCCAATAATAAAAATGATGTGTGCCTAACGGCTAACACACATATTTACGAGATTTCAATGTCAATATATATTATGTAAGATTTTAAAACAAAGTAATTGGTCAATTTTTTTGGTCATCATAAATTTCTATTACAATGTCAGTAATAATATATAAATAATAAACAAACTATCAAATTTTTAGATCCATTATAATATACTATGTCAGTATAGTTATTATATTATATTATTATCTGATCGATATGACTGACACACAGTCTCCGCTCTGGATTGTTTTTATCGTAGCCCGTAGGCTGTTGGTGTATAAAATGATTTATCATTGAATACAAATTTAACAAAAAAATTTTAAATTTTAAATTTAAAATTCTCAATATATTTCAAAAGGTTTTTTTTCAATAGTCACTTTGTTGGGATTTAAAAACATCAAATGTGGCCTTGTAGAGACTTGAAAATTGCACCTAAAGCTATATTGCCTATTGCCTATTTATACCATAGACCTATTCTCACTGATAAAGTGCGTAATAGGTAGTATTGACTCAAAATTCAATAAAAAATAAAAATAGTCAATAATATAATATGATATAAATTATACACTGTTAGTATAATTAAATATTTATCATTGACTATATCATTGAGTTCAAATTTAACACATCCTAAGTCCAACTATATTATTTTATTCTATATATTCTCATATATGCGTGGTTACTTTTTAAGGGTTTTTTTTTCGCGGTCTAAATTTCCGGGGTTCTTTTTTCCAGGATGTCTTAGAGTTGGATGAATCATTTTATGCTTAGTGTATATTATTATTATTTTATATATTACTCCACGCCGTTCAATAAATCTGTCATCGGCATCATATTGAACGAGTAACACAAGCCATACGACGTGAACGTTTCTTGAAACAGAACGTTGCACGGATCGTTTTCTGTTGTCCGTAACCAAAAAAATGACTTGACCACTTCTTCACACGGAAAAGACAGATTCTGTTAACACGTCCAACACCAAACAATCAAATTAAAACTTATGGTTAGGTAATACATAATAATTAATACATTAATACATCGCTGATGTGTGGGTAGTGGGTTTGTCATTTTTATGTTCCTCAGTCAATATAAAATGTAGTTGTATAATTATGATGTATACGGGTATACCTACCTAACCTACACATTAACGGATATAAAATGTTTTTATTACCACCAGGACAAGTTTGAAATTCAATAACTGTAATTGATATTGAACAAATACGAGACCCGTGTACCTAATTATTGTAATCGAAGAAAATTAAATCCTCTTTCGTGATTTAGGTAGGTACCTAACCTAACCTAACTTACCTACATAACGTTATCATTTTAAACTGGAATATACTATTATTATTATTTAACTTATATGTTCTAGTACAGTGTTTCCCAAACTGTTTGCCCATAAATGCCCTGCTAAAAAAAAAAATCAAGTATGCCTTGAATAAGTAATAACTTTATTATTACTAATTATATCTTTGAATTTTTATAAAAAACAATACTTGATACATAATACATAATAAATGAAAAAAATTATAAAAAAATACACAAATACTGAAATAAGCATAATCGTAACCATTAGTCGGACCCATCAAAAAAATTCTCGTAGGATGGTTTTATACATGGTGCAGTTGATTAAAGTAATAATAGGTATTTTTAAATCAACTGTTTTAATATTTTGAAATTCAGTTTTTCATATAGCTATAATTGAGTTGTTTTTAGTTGTATATAAATCTTAGTTGTAAACATTGCACCAGAATTGAGAAAAAAGTTAACAATATAATACATAATATAGAGATAGCTGAGATCGTTGAATTATGTCATATACTCATAACATTGTAAATTATGTTTTTGCTTTGTATATAACGATACGAATGCACATTGCAGCACATTATACCGTGATCTATTTAATAAATACACCACAGTGCATAAACTTGTGGGAAAATAAAAACGCTCCACACGAGTGGTATGATAGTAACAATAATAACAATAATAGTATACTTTCCTTTAGAACTTGCGAAACAAAGGAACCGTCTAGAAAATCTTCATACGATTTCCATTTTTTCTTTATTGGATTATTTTCACAAATACCGTACATCGTATTCTGGATTAATCTGTCGAGAAAAACACATAAACATGAAACGAATGGCTAATGAATATATTTTATTTGCGTATAATAATATGTTTGTATAGAAATCTAGTGTACTTGTCTTCGAAGTCGGTATTGTTAACATCCGAATAGTTATAAACGGATGGGCGGACTTTGTTTGCACTGCACACGGTAACTGCCGGAAACGGAATGGTCCAAATCGACGAAACCGAGTTGTCCAACGATATTATAGCTGGCATCTCCGAGAACATGCTTATTAAAATGTAAATCGACACACCGCATAGTATGTATATGGCCACCAAGATAATGGCCCAAAAGAATCTAAAAAAATATTCAATTCCACAAGTATTCGGGTATATCAGTAATTAGTATATTATAATATTATATATCATTAACTATACTAATAGGTAGGTACCAACAATTATGATTACAACGCGATTCCGTGTTCAATCAGTCGGAAACGATATAATATAATCTGTTATTCTAGGACCATAAACTGGACTATAAAGATATTATAATTTATTTCAAACGTATAAAGGTACACTGGTAATTGATCAGCAGTGGTACCGAAACCTGAAAATCGTAGAGTAAGACCAGCGAGTGGTGAAAGACTGCACGTTTACGGTTTACGTATACCTAGGTCTGTAAAATATAAATATAGGCGAATGTAATTTCGATAAGCCAACTAATAAAAATATGACAACTTTAAATTTACTTCCTAATACGCGAGTGCCTTCGATTTCAATAAAAACATTACAAACAGTCAGTTTAGGACTACTATAGTGCTGCTATTAAAATGAATTGAGAGACGCGCGAAGAGGTCGCCGAGGTCGTATATAGTACAAATTAGTGCATGTAAGTAGTAGGTTGTAGGTATACACGAATAATAGATCATATTATAATATGATTAAAAAGGTAAATACGAATATATTTCAAACATTTGCTATTTCTATATTACTACATTATTATAGCCACCATAATTTTATAAAATCATGGTCACGGGCACCATTAATGTTGCAGTTCTGTCTATCATCTTTCAAATCATCTTAACATGTGTCACTTGTTTGTTTTTTTTTACTATTTAACAAGACATTTTCCCGTTTCAAGTTCCAACGATTTTATAAAACATCTTTAAAATAAAAAACATTTATTTATTATTATTTTTTAGGTGTAAACGCCATTTGGCATTCTCCCAAAAAGCATAGATCTTCTCCATATTTTTCACACAAAATTTGGTAGACCCTATTATAATCTGTATAGTACTATATTATATTGCATACTTATATAAAAGTTTTATTTTTTATAATATATAATATTTTTCATGCACTTTAATTACTTTTTTTCAAAAATGTTTTAAACATTACATTACATACATGTATGACTATGCACGACACAGTACATTTTTCAATATCAAAACGTTACGAAGTCGCCGTGTGAAAAAGTAACTATATATTTTGTATGTACACATTATTTTGCGAACCGTATAAACTAAAAATTACTTGATTATGTATTCCGTATAATATACAAGTGTATAACATGTATATAGTGTCTATAGACATTACACGGTTCATAGAACAAACGACAACTCTCGAATGTTCGGCTATTATAATATAATGTGTACACATACATAAATATATACTATAATATTGTACATACGACATATATTATATTATATACATGCGCATAGTATATAATGGCTAGCGTTCTCAAACGATGAATTGGTCGAAAACATATATAATATAGTGTATAAGCTGCAGTGTAACATCTAGCAAAAACGAACCGGATGATTGCATGTACACACAGTGTATACTTTATATGACAATCGTACACGGGAATAAATGAATAATATATTCCATAAAACTCACCCCCTGATTTGACCCATTTTCCGGATTTTTTCATCTAGTGCTTACATATACATATATGTATATATGTTATACATTTCGTTGTTTTCGTTTCACGCATTTAAATCAAATCCATTATCCATTGCTAGGTAATGTAAAATGGAAATGATACTGCTGCAGTCGTAGGTATATATAGGAACACGCGCCACTAAGCTTGAGTTCGATTTCTTCAATAAAACGTTTCTTTTTTTTTTTAGTTTCTACACTTCACACGAAACTACCTA